AACATTAACACACAAAAATCCATCGCAGTTCTATACATTAGCATTGACCAATATGGAAAGGAAATTAAGAATAAAATTTCAGGCCAGGTGTGGCAGCTTACACTTGTAATCCCAACATGTTGGGAGGCTGAGGCAGGCGGATCACTTGAGGCCAGGAGTTTGAGACCAGCCTGGCCAACGTAGTGAAACCCTGTCTCTACTGAAAAACAAAACAAAACAAAACAATTTTATTTATAATAGCATGAAAAAGAATAAAATTCTTAGAAATAAACTTAACCAAGGAAGCAAACAACTTGGACACTAAAAACTACAAAACAACAATGCTACAAGACACCAAAGAGTATATAAATAAATGAAAAGACATCTCCACGCATGTGGATTTAAAGACTTAATATTGTTAAAATTCCATATTACCTAAAACGATTTACAAATTCAATACAATCCCTATTGCAGCATTATTCACAATAGCCAAGAGATCCAATCCAAATGTCCATTGGTGGATGAAAGGATAAAATATGGTATATACATACAATGGAAGACTAAGCAGCCTACGGAAAGAAGGGAATCATGTCACATGCTAGAACATGGATCAATCTCAAGAACATTATGCTAAGTGAAAGAAGCCAATCACAAAAGGACAAATACTTTCCTTTATATGAAGTATTTACGGTAGTCAAAATCACAGAAACATAAAGTAGTGGTTGCCAAGGGCTGGGGATGGGAGTAGGGGAGAAATTCGTATTTAATGTGTACAAAATTTCCGTTGTGAAAGATAAAAAATTTCTAATTTCACAATGATGTGAATATAAATTGTACACTTTAAAATGTTTAAGATGGTTTTTAGAAAAGGAAAAAGCATAGGAATAAATTTTCATGACCTAGGACTAATTAATGGTTTCATAAACATGATATTAAAACCACCCGTAACAAAAGAAAAAATAGACAAATTGGACTTCATCCAAAGTAAAAACTTTTGTGCTTCAAAGAGTACCATCAAAAAAGTAAAGGACAATCCACAGAATGGGAGAATATTTCTGCAAATTATATCTTGTCAAGCATTTTTATCTGGAATATGTAAAGAATTATTATAACTCAATGGCAAAACACAAACCAGTTAAAAATTAGTAAATGTTGAGTACACATTGCTCCAAAGAAGATACACAAGTGGCGAATAGGTACATGAAACAGGTTCAACATCAGGGAAATGCAAAGGCAAACTACAATGAGATGCAACTTCAGAACCACTAGGATGACTTTATCAAAAAAAGAGTTGATAACAAATGTTGGCTGGAATGTGGAGAGATGCTGGGACCCTCACACAGCTAGTGGGTACATAAAATGGTTCATCTACACTGGAAACAGTCTGGCACCTTCTGAAATGGTTAAACATCCAGTTTCCATATGGCCCATCAATTTCACTCTTAGGTATATAGCCATGAGAAATGGAAACATACATCCCCAGAAAACCTTGTACACAAATGTTCTTCGAAGTATTATTCACAATAGCCAAAAAGTGAAAACAACCCAAATGTTCTTAACTGACAAATGGAAAATTTTTAGCATATCCATTAATGGAATATTATTCAGCAATAAAAAGGTTTGATATAATGGTACATACTAAAAACATGGATGACCTTGGAAATATTATTCTAAGTGAAAGAAGACAGATGTGAAAGACGCACGTTGTATGTTCCATTCATAGTGCATCATATGTGACACTGCATGCTGACGCTGAAGTTAGAATCAAAGTGCAGCTACAAAAGGGCAATCACCTGCATCAAGTCCATCCTGGTAGCTGTCAGAAAGCACAGCATGTTCACTAACGGGGGCCAGCCTTGCTCCCGTTGTCAGATGGAATTTCCCAAGAGGCCATGGCTTCTTCAGGGATTTGTCATCCAGTAGTGAAGGGAGTGGTCTCTGGAGGCAAACCTGCCTGGGGCTGCCCCAGCTGCAGTGGCTCCCAGAGAGTGACCTGGCTGTGTGAGCAGGGAGGCCAAGCCCACCAAGAGCCTCAGCACACCCCCAGCACCTGCTGCGAGCAAGCTGCATGGCTTCCCCAAGTGTGGATGCGACAATACCATGGGTAATTACAGATTCCCTTTCACTGCATCCCAGGCTCTCCTGGTTCATGTGTGATACGCTGCACTTGGGGTGGAGGTGTGGTGACAGTCACAAAGGGCCGAGCCTTTCTTTCCCATGGCCCTGATGCACGGTTTCCAGATACCAGTCACGAAGGAAGTTCTTGAGATTATGGACCTTGTCCTAGTCACATAGGGCTACTGGGACAAAGTGCCATAGACTTGGGGGTAGTGGCATGTATTAAAAAAAGAAATGTATTTGTCACAGTCTGGAGGCTGGAAGTCCGAGGGTAGCATCCCAGTGTGGCGAGGTTCTGGTGAGGGCTCTCTCCTGGCTTGCAGATGGCCGCCTTCTCACTATGTCCTCGTGTCAGGGAGAGAGAGCTCTGGGGTCTCTGCTTCTTACCAGGGCCCTAATCCCATCAGTAGGGCCCCACCCTCATGGTCTCTTCTAACCCTGAATAATTCCCAAAGGTCTATCTCCAAATACCATCAAGTTGCGTGTTAGGGCTTCAACATAGGAATGGGGCGGGGAGGAGGGGAACGTGTGTTCAGTCTATCAGATCCCCCTAGTCAGCCCCACTCTGCCCATTTAGGGGCAGATTGTAGGGCTCAGGCGGGACACAGTGGTGGAGGAAGCACAGGTTCTGCCTCCTGGGAATAGCTCAGCCAAAACAAGGACAGGACAGCGGGGTAGACAACAACCAGTGTGGTAACCAGCAGGAACCCCAAGGTGTCACTTTCACCCTTAGGTGAGGAAGTTGGCTGAGCACCCACACACGGCAGAGTATAGACCATGTTCCCTTCAAACGCGGCTCACTTAACATTCCTAAACTCTGCAAAGGGGCAGTGCTACCTTATCTCCTGAGGATGGCCCTGAATGTAGAGGAGTCACGGGAGCTGCCCACTTCACCCACCAGTGACTCTTCACTCCCCACATTTTCCCCTCGCGCCTGATGTGCACTGAGCTGGGGAAGCCCTGCCAAGATAAACTCTCCTTCCCAAAGGCCACAGAGGGCGGAAGGCCTGCAACACTGCCCACATCGAGCAGAAGGGACGGGGCAGAGGGGCACCTGTCTGGCTGACTGCTATGCTCTGTGGGCAGATGGGGCCAGAGAGGACCCAAACATGGCTCCCTTTGTCACCTGGCCAAGGGGCCAGGCCACTGTGTACCAGGCAACTTTGCCCCACAAGCCTCTGCTGCTGGGCCAGACCCCAGTGCCATGACCACAGCTCTGCATGCAGGCAGTGCTGGGACCTGTGCCCTGGCAGTCACAGGGGTCCTGAGCCAACAAGGGCCCCTCCTCCCTTGTTGTCTGAGGGGGAGGAATCAGAACTCAGACGGTAGAGAAGAAGGTGTTGGCCAGGAGGGAACCAGGGCGGGTGCCAGGTCCTGTCCATGCTGGGATCTGAGATTCTAAGAGGTGAGTTAGGGGTAAGGGGGGCAGAGGTTGGCCCATGGGGTGAGGGGAGTTCAGCAGAGATGGGGAGGACAGGACAACCTGGAAAAGAGCAGAGCATTCTCCCCAGCCTCAGTCCCTCTCCTGATGCAGTCCTCATCTCACTCATAGACTCTGGAAGTCTTCCTTCGGCAAACACCTGGCCCCCGACTCCCAGGGCACTTCCGGAACAGCCGGTGCTGCATCCCAGGCAGCCCCTGCTCTTCTCTTGGGGTCTGTGCCTGGCAGAAGGGTGGCTGACCCTCGGCCCCTCTCAGCCTGGGCCACAGCTCCTCCTGGCCCTGGGACGAGCAGACACACCCACCCTGTGCCTGATGGGCTGGTCATGCTTGTTCCCATAGGTGATGGTGTGTTGGGAGGGAACTGTTTTAGATACCAGTGTAAATCTCTGTCCACATCAATTCCACACGAGTTCCGTCATCATATGGGAAGGCAATCATAGCTGTGGGGGGCTCCATGTAGCACCCCAAGGGCCCCTGAAGCCAGTCCCTATGGCCACAGCAAGGAGCATCTGCTTCAGCTAGTTGGACAAGACTCTCTCCTGCCCAGAAACAGGCAAAGGGACTTCCCCCACTCCCGTTGTATCCCAAACACACCCGTGTGGACGGTCACCTCAACGTCTCCCCTCAGACCAGTGCCCGTGCTCTTCCTGATGAGGGTAAAGCAGGAGCGGCCACCTCTCCCCGTGTCCATGTTTTAGGCAGCTGCCTTCTCCTCAGCTCCCATTGAGCACAACAAAAGCCAGCCAGCTCTCTCTATCCCAGGATTTTCCAGGGATACTGATAATGATGGGAGGCCCTGAGAAGACTCCCTAAAGCAGGTGGGGCCTTGTGAGTGGGTGGTGGGAGGGATCAGGGCTTCCTCAGCATCTGTCAGTCCCTGGAGCATCTGAAGGGGCCCCTTACACCAGGAGGAAAGAGTGGGGACTGCCCCTGTGGGTTCCCAGTGCCTGGCATCTCCCAGTTCCTCTGCCCTCCCTCACAGACGCCCTCCACGGAGCAGCACAGCCCCAGGACAGAGGCAGCAGCCCTGAGAGCATTTTCCAACACAACTACATTTATTTACATTTACACACGAGGTCCCCAAGGCACTGCTTCCCACCCCCCGCCCCTTCCCCCCAGGCCCTCCCTTCCTGCTCTCCCCATTCAGCCACCCTCTCCCTCCCCTCCATCCCCTACCCTCCTCCCTTCCATCTCAGCCACCCTCTCCCTCCCCTCCATCCCCTACCCTCCTCCCTTCCTGCCCTCCCTATTCAGCCACCCTCTCCCTCCCCTCCATCCCCTACCCTCCTCCCTTCCTGCCCTCCCTATTCAGCCACCCTCTCCCTCCCCTCCCTCCCCTACCCTCCAAAGCTAAGGCCCAGCAAGATCAGCACTGGGGGAGAAGCTTTTGACTGCTTTGGGGCATCGGATGCCAGAGCCCCACCCTTGGAGACTGGCACCAAGAGTCTGCCCGGAAGCCCCTACTGGCTACAATGCCGCTTCTTCTTCTTCCTGGAGACCAAGAGGTCACCCTTTCTCTTTTGAGACTGTGAGGGGCCACCGAGCCCCCCAGCCAGGGATTGCTCCCCAGAGACCCTGAGCCCAGGCCCTGGGTGGGGTGTCTTTTCCACAGGGGATGGGCTTTCGAAGAGAGGTCGCTTCTTGGACTTGGTAGCAAGAGAGGGTGCTAGGCTGAGGCCTCTTCTTCGAGCAGATGGGGACTGAAGAACTCCCTGGGGTCCCCACTTTTCTGGGCTGAGAAGGCCCAAGGCAGGGACAGGGCTCTGGGGTAGCCTCCAGGGCAGCAACTTGTGCTGGGAACCCAAGAGGAAGGCCAGGCTGGGGAGCTCCTCCTCCTCACTTGACCCCTGAACCAGTCCGTGTGACTCCCTGACAGGAGACCCTCCAGGGAGATCCAAGGCGTCCTTGGTTCCCAGGCCAGGGCAGGTGGGTCTGTGGTCCTGGGGAGGAGAGGTTGACCGAGCAGCCCTCAGCCCGGAGGAATCCTGACATCCCAAAGGCACCGCAGGGTCTTTGGACCTGGCCATGCCAGTGCGTGCTCTGCCTCGTCCCTGAGGGTCCCGGGCAGCCGTCTGGGGTGGGCAGGTTTCCATGCCAACCCCTTGTTGGGGGTCAGGGATGTCTCTCTCTGTTCCTTGACCAGCTGCAAACTTAGAAGGACTTGAGTCCAACCGGGCCACGCCATGACTAGGGGCTGCCCTTGCACGCTGTTTCTCCTTCAAAGGTAGGAGGCGCTTCTCCACCAACTGCGGGAGGAAACGGGGCACTTACTGGCGCTGCCCCAGGTGTGAGCAGGGCCCAGGGTGGTGGAGAACAGGGCACTTGGGCGGGAGGCAGGGAAGCCTGAGGCAGCTGGGCTTTATGTCAAAGAGAGAGGGTGTAGTCTGCTGGGCGTCCCCTTGGGCCTCACTGCAGCTTGCGTCCTGACTCCTCTCCCTGGTTCCTCTCCATCCCACTCCCTCTGAACCTGCATCTTCCCACCCCGGAGTGGCTCCTCAAGAAGCCGAGCATCCCCAGCTGGGTGGGGATAGACATTCAGGTGGGCCTTGTGTGCTGGGTCCCTCCTGCCCCTCCTGCTCACCTGGGCAAGGGTGAGTCCTTCCTCCTGCTCCAGCTCCTGGCTTAGGGCCAAGAAATCCATCTGTGGATCTGGGGAAAGCAATTCTTCCAGGAATCGGGGATGAATGACGGCCTCCACCTGGGAACAGAAGGAAGAAGGTGTGAGTTTCCTGCGCAGGAAGTAACCTGGAGGCAAGGACACCTGGAGGAGATGCAGAAAGCAGTGAGCACCCCATACCAACCTTCCTGGGGCTGTCTAATATCATGGCAACCACCAGCTACACACACAGACCACAGACCTGGTAGCATACACACATACAGACAGAGACACACAAAGCACACACAGACACACAAACAGACCCACATATGACACAGGAAAAGACACAGACACACGTAACCTACACACTCCACACTCACACCCACAAAGACACACAGTAACAAATCACAGACACAAACACACAGCAACACACAGACACACACAATCACATACACAGACACTCAAATCCATGGAAATACACACGCTGCTGAATAGCTAACGAACAGAGCTTAATTCCAAGGACCTGAGAGTGCCACCCCCCGGAATCCTGCAGACCCCAGCACTCCAGGCCAGCCCACCTTGGTGACAAAGTCTTTCTGGGAACACAGCTTGTCAATGTAGCTCAGGAGGCCCGGGTCTGGGGGTGTCCAATCCTCTTCCTGTGGCTGCTCCACTTCGCCCTCTTCCCGTTGTTTTTCGGGCTGCCCTGTGGCCCCGAGGGGAGGCCCCAGCAGCTCCTCCATGATGTCCACATACTCCTGCACCACTTCTGGGGGGATCTCCTCAGGGATCTTGGTCTCTGCTGGCCTCTGGGGCCTGGGTGGTGGCAGGCGGGCCTTGGTCTCTGCTCGCCGGTGGGGCCTGGGTGGTGGCAGGCGGGCCTTGGTCTCTGCTGGCCTCTGGGGCCTGGGTGGTGGCAGGGAGGCAGTCGGGGCCTTGGAGCCGGCCTTGCTGGGAAGATACACTGAGGCAGAGAAGGAGGAGGCCAGGCGTGGTGAGGGCCGCTCCTCCTGCCTGCACCACACAGGGGAGGGCAGGGTTTGGGGATGTGAAGTGGGTCCCAGTTGGGTCAGGACCACCTGAACCACAGCGCCCCTGGAGGAGACGCGCAGGAGGGGCACATCTGAGACAGCATCGCTTGGGAGGAAGTTTGCAGCCACCAATATGCCATGTACTCTCCCCGCTAATCCCTGCTTCCTGGGCAGAGCATATGTGGAGTTTTGGATGGGCGAGGGGAGAGAGTAGCTAGGAAACTTGCTCCAGTACCCAACATATGCTCCCGGAAGCTGTCCTGTTGGAGGGAGCAAATCCCCCTCTTGAAGGGAAGCATGGGGTGTGAGGACAGTGGTCTCCCTTGGCCCCTTTGGCTTTTGCCATGGCTCCTGTGGGAATGTGGGAAGCTGTACCTGGCTGCTTGGCCACCTCAGGGGCTGGGGGTCCTTGAGGTTCAAGCCTCGGCGGGGCTGGAGGAGGCAGGCTCTGGGGCTCCTTCATCCATTGCGCTTTCTGAATCTGCATCTCCTCCTCAGCCTCGAACTCCAGGAACCTGGGGGTGAAGGAGGCCCAGGCTGTGCGGAGAGGGTCCAGGCCCCCTGTCCCCAGGACCAGGCAGCGGCCGAGGGCAGGGATGGGAGGCAATGCCTCGGGTGGGCTGTCTGGGCCCTCACTGGGTCTCATCCCTCAGTCCCGGGAGGGAGCTACTCCCAGAGTTCTGGGCTCACCCTCCCTCACCCGGCCCCTGCAGAGCCCATGGCATCAAAGGGGCTTCCTGACTCCAGTCAGGGCCACGAGGTCCAGGAGGGTCCCAGGGGACTCCTCCTCCAGGTTTCAGCTGCCCAGGGGTGGGGTTGATGGCAGACGGCATCAGGGATGATGCCCAGATGCAGGAGTCCTGAGGCTGGGACTGCGGGTCCCTGAAAGATAACCCAGGGGCAGGGATGATGCCCAGATGCAGGAGTCCTGAGGCTGGGACTGCGGGTCCCTGAAAGATAACCAGGGCCATGTCTGGGACCCTGGTCGGAGGGAAGCAGCTGAGCCTGGAGTGGACAGGGCCTTTCCCGAGGCTGCTGTCTGTCTGTCTGTCTGGCACAAAGGAATGCCCAGGAGCAAAGGCGGTCAGGCCAGAGATGGTCCAGTGGTGTCCCGGTACAGGTCTCCTGCCCAAACTCCCCGGCCAGGCTGGGATGGTAGAAAACCACTCTGGCCACTGCTGTAGGAGCCTGCACTCCCACTGCCTATGGAGCCACAGTGCTCCCTTCTCCCCATCCCCACAGAAGCTGAGGACCCCTCTGCCTGTAACGCTGGCTGCCCGCCATGACCTCCAGTGTCATGGCAGGGGTTGGCCCAGGCCAGGCAGGGAGGCTTCCAAGAGGGCAGGACAGGAGACCCTGGTGAGCACTCGTAGGTGGCAGGAGAGCCCCTGAGGGAGCCAGGGGCCCAGGGTGTCCTGTGTTTGTCCACATCCTCCTATGCTCCACACTGAGAAGCCACCACGGTCACCAGGTACTCAAGGTCCAAGTCTCACTCTGCCACGCGGTTTGCCTCAGGACTGTGACTCACTTTCCGCCATCTCGTGAAGATCATCCGGTCAAAGTTGCTTGTGTGCTGCCATTCGTGCATGGTCTGGCAAGGTCCTCCTCCAGCGTCATGGTGGCTTCCCGCCGGCCAGGATCGGAGAACTGGGCCAAAACCAGTGCAGTCAGCCCCAGTCTGTGTTTCTCCACCCTTCATCCTGATCACCCTGGTCCCAACACTGGGCCCCTGTCCTCCCCACACCTGTCTCATGCCATCTGTCCATGTCCTGTTCTCCTCACGTGGGCCCCTCAGGCCCCAGGACATGCCCCCAAGATCAAACATCAACACAAGCTACTGATGATCTCCTCCACTGCCCCTCAAGTCCTCAAAGCACGTTGATGTGCGAACTCAGTGCCATGGGTGGAACATATGTGTCCCCAACATTCCTGTGCCGCTCCCCAGCGTCAAGCGCACGGGTATTTGGAGGCAGCCATGGTTATAGCAGGCCAGGAGCGGGGTCCAGCCATGGAATCAGCCCTGATAAGGGCAGGAGGAGACACCCAGGCTTTTCCTCTCAGCCACAAGAGGACACAGCCGAGGCAGCTCTCTCCAGCCACGAAGAGGCCCTGCACCAGACACCCAACCATGTCACCTTGATCTGGGACTGGCCTCTGGAACTGGGAGACATGAAATGCGGCCTGACAAAGCACCCAGCCTGCTGGATTTGTTACAGCCAGCCTGAGCTTGATCTGAGACAGTGTGTACACAGAATGACCTGGGAGGCCAGGGTTAAAGTGCAGGTTCCTGGGCCCCAGGACTGAGATTTAACCAGCTTCCTGGGGACTGAGAAGGCAGCTCCTGGGGATGCAGCCAGGGTCCTGAAGCATGAGGAGCAGGAGCACACGTCCAGAACTGTGCTAAAGCAGTGCCGGGCCTCACTGCAAGCAGCCAGGTACAGCTTCCTCCTACATTCCCCACAGAGCCATGGCAAAGGCCTGTGAGCCTGGGGCAGCTCCACTCCAAGAATCAGGGTCCCCAGTGCACCGGGACTCCGCTCCAAGGGGGAATGCAACCAGTTCCAGGGTGCAGGGGCAGTGAGATTGTTGGGGATGAAGATGGGGCAGCCTTCCACCTACACCCCAGGCAGGGGACTTCCCTAGGGGAACGGTTAGTGTGTTGCACAGTGGATGTGCTCAAGCTCCCGTTTGCTCATCAGCGGGAAACACAGGGTGACAGAGGCGCCGCAGGGTGGAGAGAGGCAGGGACTGGGAATGAAACCACAAACTCTCCCGGATGCTGACATTGCTGCCTCACAGTCACCAGAGTCCACAGCCCTGGGTTTCTGGGCTCGTGGTGCACTCAGAGCTATCACTGGAGCCTATGGCTTTGGGGAGCACTCTCCTAGATGGCCTAGTCCTGATAATGATAGTAAAGGGGACAGTAATCATAATTGCTGTCATGTAATGTGTCATAGCATGTGCCAGGCACTGTGCTATACATGTCATATGTGAGCTCAAGTCATCTCTTCGCCATCCTCTGAATGAAGCATCATTGTCCCTTTTTCTAGGAGGGATTGAGGGCGAAGATGCAAATACCTGCCCAGCATCGACCCTGATGCGGGGCCCAAGCCATCCCCCTGTGCAGGCTCCACCCCCGCGGCGCTGGACCTGGGCAGAACTGCGGGCGTGTGTCAGGTTCCCGCCGGGCCCTGCAGCTCCTCCCCCACCCCATGTGATGTGCTCCTGGCCATCAATACTGGGTTCAAGGAGAGGCACTGGAGTGTGTACTCAAAGACCTAAACCCAAACCGTCGTTCACGTCACACCAGGAACCCTCTCTGACCTAGGTCTTCTGTAAACATTGTTGTGAAAATTATTGAAAGTAAGGATTGGCTGGACTCAAGGGACAGTGACGGGCAGTTGAGGCCCCTGACAGTCTGTCCTGAGCCACAGCCAGATTAATGTTGTTGAAAATGTACCTTCCCATAGTGCAACCCATCACCCTCACAACCGCCCTGCAAGCTCCCCTGAACAGCGTGACCTCCTGTCCATTCAGCAGCCTCTTTACGTGTGAGCTGCAGGACGAGCTCTGGTGCCCCGAGGACACTCACATGAGGAAGCAGGAAAGCGCTTCGGTGTCAGGACTCTGGGGAAGGTGCCTCCGGGCCAGGGGCTTGTAGCGCTGCCAGAGTCGGAAGTTCTCATAGACACTCTTGGGATTACAGGAGTCGTCTGGTGGGGCCTTGGCCTGGGAGGGAGCCAGGCTGCCCTCTCCATGAGCCCCCTGTGGCCATGGCCCAGCGTGGGACACGATGGGGGGCATCTGGGCAGCCGGTGGTGGTGGTGGTGGAACAGGATGGCCCTGGGACCAGCCTCCCTCACAGGCCTGGGTGCCCCCAACCAGCTGGGCAGCCATAACAGGCACCACAGGAGCAGCTGCCAGGAGTAGGGGAGGTGGACACACGACACCTCCGCAGAGGGCGCTTGGAGCCTGCCAGACAAGGGGGTTCTGAGTTAGGACCAAGGTCTGTGCCTGAGGGGGCTTCACAGGCCCCACTTCTGTCCTCATCTGGACAAAGACATTAGAAGCCCCGGCCCCACTCGGGCCATGACCATCCTGTCCTGCCACCAGAGGTGTGCTGGGGAAGGCAGACAGCACCAGAGGGCCGCCGGGAGGAACCGCTGCAGTCACGAGGGGTGGCCCGTGTGCTGGGCTGGGAGCAGGTGTGGTAAAGGGCAGAGCCGTGAACACAGACAGGGAGGCGCCAGGGTTCACGGTCATGCCCGGTCCCAGCACTGGGTATGCTGTGGAGACAAAAGAAAGAGATGAATGAGCTGGGGTCTCCTGGTCCTCACTAGTCACTGGGGAATCAGAGGGGAGTCCCAACAGCTGAGGGCGTGTGACAGGGAAACTCTGCTGCTTGCAAGTGTCCCTGAGTGTGCATGGGATGCTCTGTTCCTCCACGGGAGAGTCGCTCCACTAGAGAGCTGGGCCCCGGTCACCAAGACTCCCTGACCCCTGTCTCCCAAGAAGCAACAGCCAAGCCTTCGCTGCCCGAGGGTCTCCCTCAGTGTCCCTGGCAGACCCCATCAGCCTCACAGCCATCTCCCAAGCCATGGGTCAGGGATGAGTCTCTCAGCGGCTTGACGGTCCTCAGCATGCTCAGCAACAGGTGAGAGGGGCCTACCCCAGGGCAGTGCTCGGCACTGAGAAGGCCGGCAGGAAGCCAGAAGCTTCCGAATATTATGGCCACATCTTCTCTTCAATCTTCCTTTTCCTGAAGGTCTTTTAAACCCCTTTCTTTCGTAGCTCAAACACAACAAAAGAAAACCACTGGATGGAAATCTTTCCCAAGCCAGCACCCTATGAACCCTGAAGATAATCCATAACTCATCACGCCCAGCATGCAAGTGATTGTCCTGGCACAGGACACTTGTGGCACAGTGTCCTGACACAGGACCTGGCACTTGCTGTCCTGTCCCCACAGCAAGTGCTAAATGGGGGTCAGATTCGGGCCACCCGTTGCTCAGTGCTCAGTGGTCCCAGCTGCCACTCAGGAAGCTGTGTTACCAGGGAGCAGGTCTGAGAGGCAGTGGTGGAGTCCCCTGAGATACTGTCACCGCACAGCCAGCAACAGCTGCACACGATTAGAACTCAGCCAGCAATTGGTGAGCAGCAGGGCTATCAGGGGAGGTGCCCAGGGATTTTCGCAGCTGCTGGTCATGTTACAATAGGTAGTGGGACAAGGAACATCTCTGATCCTTCTCCTTTGAGCTCCCAATAACTGACATAGTAACCAACCAAGAATCAGGGGTTCCTGGGCCACAGGCCAGGTAAGGCAAAGTTGTCTGGAACTCATCCCTGTTCACTACGACCTCATGCAGTCTCTAGTCAGGGGGAATAAGGGATACAGCACATGTACCTCATCATTCAGGACGCATATTCTAACTTTAATAATAATAATAATAATAATAATAATAATAATAATAAAAGAACCATCTTCCTATTTGTGGCGCTATTCTCCTTCCTCTACTGAAAAGAAAACCAGCCTTTCCAGACCCTTCCACTGAGAACCAGCAAGAATCTACACCTGTCCCCATTTCATGAGGTAGTATAAATGGAATAGGAGCAAATTCTTCATCTCCACAGTAACACAAAGTGCAGAGGACAGGCCATGAGCTAGTTGACAAGAGGAAGTGGGTCTGAAGACCTGAGCTTCCACAAAAGGGCGAACAATTCAGAACATCTCAGGAAGTCCAGGCCATGTGTTACCTGAACTTCCCCATTTGTCCCCACCCCTGTTGGATCAAAGCCAACAGCTACCTCAACTGACGGAGCAGCCAGCTCTGGGGCAGGAGCTGAGAGGCTCTGGGCTGTGGCAGTTACAGTAGCCCCCAGCCTCGCCCACCCAGAGGTTGTCATTACATGCTCTGTCACAGCCAACCCAACCAACAGTTTTCTGGCTGAGACCACTTCTCCCCACTCCTCCCTAAGATCTAGAAAACTCCAGCCCAAATCCCTCTGAACACTATGGAAGGGCACCTTCCAGGTGCCTGAAGACATAGCACAGGGCTCAGGCTTGCCCATCATTCTCCCTGGGCCACCAGCACAACACGATCCCACCACTCTCTACAAACACACAATGACGTGACCTGTCCCCCTCTAGAAAGGATCAATCCATCCACTCCATCCTTTCCTCTACACGGTGTATTCCCCCAGGCATCTTGATCCCTTGATCCACCTCTAAGGAGCCGTCCTCCCTAACCACAGACTCAGGGTGCCATGGCCATCCCCAGGTGTGACATCCTTGGGGACATCCAGTGCTCCCTCCCTCTTCAACATCAGCCCTATCAGCTGTCCCCAGGGGCAGTTCAAATTTGAATTCCCAAGGAGTTGAGGCATGGCAGACTTGGATAATGCCCCCATCCCTATAGGCTCACCTCCATTTGAAGCCATCCCCTCAGGCTGGGCACTGCCCACTGCTGTCTGGCAGTTTCCGCAATGAGAAAAGTCAAGGGTAGGACACAGAGAGTGACCTGGCTCAGCAGATGCTCCTGAGTCCAAGTGGAGCAGGGAAAATTTGAATGTAAATAAGTTTAGAACATAGGACCCCAGACATTCTGCAGAGGGGGAGGGGCAGTGGGCAGCTGGTAGGGGTGGGGGACATTCTGTGAAGGCCTCCAGCCACTAGGCAAGAACCTGAGTTTCCCTTCCAACTGGACGGCAGCAACACAGATGGCGTGCACCTCTTTAGGCAACTTTTAAATTGTCCTTCTGACTCACAGCAAAACCTTCTACATGATGTCCCCTTTATTTCCATTCTTTATCAACAGACCTACTTTTGTGCCAAGCAACCCATGTTCCTTCCCCCTTTGGCTCTTTCCCACTCTTGATGAATTTCAACAGGGGCCACACTTCCTGAACAAAATTCAGAACGTTTTCAGTCTGAGAAACACAGGAGTTCCTAGGAAGGCAAGGGGACTGGGTGTTTGAAATCAGGATGGTCTCAGCCGATCCAGGCTATTAGTTGGCTGTGTGCTCATCATTGTTTAGGAAGCAATCCTTGTGCCCCCAGGTCATGTATGTTGCTGGAATCTCTGTCCATACCAGCAGGCCAGCCCTACTTCCCATCCCCTTTCCTGGGAAGCCTCAGTCCAGGAAAGAGTGGCTATGCGACCTACAGTACCGAGACCAGAAATCCGTTCATTTTGTTTCCCAGCATATTGTGATGGTGTTAAATGTTTATTTTTTATCTGTTGAATGGTTTTAATTTAACCAAGCAATACTTTTGCATGGTTCCAAATTCAAACTGTGCACAGTGGAATAGGCAATGACCAGCCTTCCTCCCATCTTTTTTCCCTGGCCACCACATTTGCTTTCCTGGAGGAAACAGGTGTTATCTGATTGTTTTTCATCTTTCCAGAGATATATTATGCAATCAAAAGCATAATGAAGCTATTTTTGCTGTCTAAAAATGCTTTCAGGTTTTGGGGGGTAAAAATTACTATATTAATATGTTCCAGTGCTTTCCTGATATTTACAATGACTGCGTTTATCCTAGTAATGTGGCTTCTCTATTTCTGTAGGTAAATCCTAGAATAAGACATTGTACTGTTCCTTAAAATCACAACTATGCAAAAGAACACAGTGGCAGGATTTAGCAAGTATGAATAACAAATACCAAGTGGAATTTGAATTCAAGATAAAACAGTGAATTAGTTTTTATTATAATTGTGATCCATGTGATATTTAGAGTATACTTTTACAAAAAATCTGTTTTTCCTTTATCTGTGTTATTCACATTTCACCGGGATCTTGCACTTTATCTGGTAACTCTTTCCAAAAAAGTGCAACATACGAAGTGATTATTGTTAACCCTCCACTGTGAGAGTGAGAACTTGCAGTAAGGAGACTCAGGTGTGAATCTTGGCTTCACCACAAAACACAACCACTGCAGAAAACAATAGCGGGCTGATTTGATGAGAAGTCAGGAGTAGCCATTATACCCTTCTCAGCTTCCAGATTTGGTGGCAGTATGCACAGTTGTAAGGGACAGAAGGACAGAATATCGTCTTTTCTTTCCTAACATAAAGCAGCTTACAATTCCTAGAACTCTGGTTTCTCCAGGAGTTAGAAATCCACAACCCATGTCCATTCTGAGACAAGCCAGGATACTATCCACCAACGTCCCATCCCCATTCCCATGCATCCCCTCGCATGTGTGAATCCTGGCTGGCCTCTCTCAGCTCACTGTTGGCCTCATCTTCTCCATACATTCTTGCTGTTTGGAATCCAGTCATCGTATATGGCTCTCTGCATGGGAATTATTGTAGCCTGTCTTTTAAAAAAAAAACTTCATTCTCATTGTCACACTGAAATCACTGTCTGCTTATCAGCATCAAAATGACAGGAAAGAGCACTCATGTTCTGTGTTGTGAACAAGGGGAGTGTTAGGAAACTGGTCAAAGGAGATGAAGAGTGAGTACTCAGAGCACAGCAACGAAATCTTCTGAGATACACACCTCACTCCCTGCTGGGCAGGGTAATTTTGCACTGATGGGAGCGTGTTGGGGAAGGGAAGAAGCCTTCAGCAGGACTGGTATACACTGTGAACATTCGCTGAAATACACCCTGTTGGCACTTACGAAGCATTTGCCCCTTTCGAAGACATTTGCACTCAAGAAGGCAGAGTTGCAGGAAAATGTAACATGGGTCACACTGCAGGGGCAGGCAGTGGACTGCAACTTTCAATCCCAGGGTTCTACCCTCCTTGCCCCAGCTGCATGAGAAGGTCATTTCCTAACTCCTGTCCAATAATCTCATGAGTTCTCAGTTTTGTCCCAACTCTAAACCTGAATGGTCCAGCAAGCATTTCTATGAAATACCTCCACAGTGGCCGCTGGGAGGGGAGTGACTGCCTGTCTGGGTGCTCCCAGGCCTTTTGTCCTCTCAGACAGAGCTGCCTCCTTACATGCAGTGCTCTTCCACTGTGCAACTCTACCTCGATCTTAGCTGAGAGATCAACAGACAGCAATTCAAGCAAAATCATGGTAAACTTCCCAAAACAAAACAAAACCAAACAAACAGTAAACGCTTTGGAGATCTTTCTGAGGACTTGATCTTTTATCGCGGGGCAAAAATTTAAATGATTTTCAATCAACAACTTCATCTAAGAGGGATGTTGAGGCAAAATATCACACTCAGGCACTGAAGAAGGGCAGAATTCTTGGTTGCTTCCTCCCTTGTCAAGTCAGTGAGCCGATGCTTTCTCGAGATGTTCACACACAGCTTTGATACAGGATTTCAATGAGTCTTTTTCTGAGCCAGTGATACAAAAAATATACTGTGGAACAATGTCTTGTCTCAATTCTGCAATCGCTTCTGCACATGTCTGAAGTCCTAGACCTCAAGAGGAGAGACCATCAAATTAGCCAAAGGTAATTTGTGAAGACTGGCCATGGGAGGTAGTGGCCAAAAGCCCTCTGGCCCCTGGTCTCAGCATTCCCACAGAAAGTCCTGTGCCGCACTGACTGCTGAGAAAGAACATCTCAGGGCTTGGATCCCCTGTTCAGAGTACACATGCTCTTCCACTCAATCACGGAATGGTAGAGGAAGGGCGGCTCCATGCTGTGTCCTGCAGAGCTCTCAGTCTCCGCACTTGAGGCCCTGGGCCCGTGTAGATGTGAAGGCTCTTTAGTGTTATCACGTGGAGACAGACGATAGGAATCCTGCAAATGAGCAGAAAGGATGTGATGATTAAAGTTCTTCTGAAGCTATTACAAACTCAAGTCAGTGAGTTGCTTCTCTACTAGTTTTTATTGCCAACTGGAATTCTGCACTGTGTTGCAGCGTCGGGGGTTGGGGAGTGTGGAATTGTTCCCCTACTATCTGCTGCATTGTCGACAGAAATTGATCAAAGTTATAACAAAAATATTTCTAGAAATCATTTGAATGCGATAGGAAAAACTCTGGGAATTGAGTCAGAAGAAAGTATCTTTCGGAGTGTGTTTTCCGGTCTAAAATTCTTTGCCAGAAATGTTCTTTAACGGAATCTCCAGACTGAGTAGGAAAACAGGGCATATTATTTTTTGAAAGGCATTAGCAGGAATGAAATAAATGCAGTCCAAACGCAATGCAAGACATGCAACTCGAGGATACTTTGCTTTAGGATAAACCCTCCAAAGGTAAACCTTTCAGCAAGGGTGTCACCTAAGTGCACTGACTGCAGGTTTGTATTACGGAAAATTAGGAGTGGTCGTTTCCGATGCGCTGGTTTCTCAGAGGCGCAGTCAGGGAGGTTCCAATGAGGAGGCCTCGTCCGGCCCCAGGAGGTTTCCAGGTGCCGCGTCCCTCCATTTCCCCATCTCCTGCACGGCCCTCCCAAGGCGGGCTCTAGGCCTGCCCCGTGCGCCTGCGCACGAGCCTTGAGGCGGGCGGGGTTCCGGCGGATGAGGTTCCCGCGTGCGGCCAGCGGCCCTCAACCGCTCCCAGCGGGGGTTGCTGGCGGTTCCGGGCGAGGAGATGCCTAGCGCCTAGCGCGAGGGCAAAGGGCGGTTACCCAACGGCCTTCGCTTTCATGGCGTCCTCCTTGGTGTTACCTAAAACTAAAGCCAAGTGTGATTAGAAGGTAATCGCCTCCTGGTCGTGTCCCCGCTGGTCACCAGTGTCCCCGGGGCGACCCCACATTGTGGCCAGAGCAGGCCTGTGGCTGCGCTCAAGGCGGGAGAGTTCATAGCGTTCCTCCTGGGGGCCCTGCGGGACGCCCAGGCAGCACTTGTTTCCCTTGCTCACCTGGCCCCGAAGTGAGGTGGGAGGTTTAACAAGGCAGTGGGAACCCCAAAGTGTGACTCCGCCATGCCTCTCACATTCCAGACAATGCAAAAGCTTAAGGAAAACCTCAGCAGTTGAAACCGTGATGCAGTTCAGCAGAGAAGTAGCTCCTGTCCTCGTAAAATGAATGAAGTTCTCACGGACGACCTCATTGAGTGAGTTGTGAAGCTCGTTGACTTAATCAGAATAATCAGTCAGCATGCATGTTCCAATACACTCATTTGTCAATGATATGAGCAGCTGCAAAGTCGAAGAACAGGCCTTTAGTCATAGTCTGTTCACTTGGTAGCACAAGTTGGTTGTGGATGCAAGAGTGTGGCCGAAGTCAAGAAAAGCTTCTATGAGAATCGCTTATGTGGAATTTACAAATAAAAAGTAGTGGTATATTATTTGTAAATTGTAGGCTACACATGTATCTAAAATTTACTGCACACGTATGTATGTTGGGTGGTTGGGTTAGTGTATACTTGAGAATGTCAGGAAGATTTGTTTTGGATTTTGAAGGGGGTGAGATTTGTGGGGGTGGTTTTCTGTATGCGAAAATGTGTTTATATGAATTCTTAGTTTGGAATTTGATATGTATTTAATTGGTGAGAATCTGATATGTATTCACATGTGTGGGTTGGTGGTGTCTTGTGTGG